GAGAGGTGCCATCGAGCATCCTTGTGGAGACTGTGTGCCGGTGAGGAGACAGAGCTGATCCCTGCACTGGATCCGAGCAAGAATAAAGAAATGGAGAAAAATTGATATATTAGCCTATATTAAAACGGTTAAGAAGTGCATTGAAGCAGCTTTGCCTCTTTTCTTGGGCTTTTCTGAAATCCAGTCTGTGTTTTTGAGTGTTAAAAAATGAAAATCACCATCTGTGATGAACGAGACGTTGGGATGAAGAGGGGCAGCCAGGTGGGACAAGCGGGTGGGATGTGCCGAGGTGAGGATGAGAGCAAGGAAAAGGCGCAGTGGAGAAAAAAGGAAAAAAGACTGGTGGAGGGAGAAGGCGGTGGTGTGGCAAAGAAACCCTTGCAGTGACAGTGTCCCAGGAACTGCAGCCAGCCAGCACGGCTCGCTCCCGGCCCCCAGCCTGGTCCAACTGCAACAACATCTGTTACACTTGAGCTCTGCTCGGTTAGTGGCATGTTTGTTTAATTGTGGGCCTGGTTTGTTATTTTGCTTCCCATTAGGAAGCTGAAGAAAGGAGGAGGAGGGTGTTTTCATTCTGGGGAGCGTTTCGCCAGGACAATGAGGTTTTTTTCCATGGCACTGGGTAGTCAGAACTAGCTGTACTGCTCCCCGCGACAAGGCAGACGCCTCCGAAGCCCATTGTTCAACCTGATGCATTAAGGCCTCACACTTGTAATTTTGGCGCTGATCCCCCTCTCCCATTGTGTGAGCAGAATGGGCTGAAAAAGGAGAGTCTGTCCTCTTTATCTGGCAGCAAGAAAAGGAGGCTGCAGCGGTGGCAGCGGCTCCTCTGCCCGCCAAGGTTTTCCCTCTCCTGCGGCAGTGGTGGGGAAGCGGGGGGTGGGAGGGTGGCTTTGAAAGCTTCCCTGGTCACTCCCAGGAAAGTCACCCAACTTTCACTCTCTGCTGTAGCTCCTTGGCCTCCCTCCAATTTTCCCAAATTCATCACTGGGTATTTTGGAAAAATATGACTTCTTCCTGCCTGACTGCTCAGGCTTTCTTTTTTTTTTTTTTTTTGTTAATTTTACAAGAAAATTGTTGAAAGGGGAATTTCCTGCCCTCCTACTCAGGATTTCTTTTTTTTTTTTTTGTGTTAATAAAAAAAGACAATTGTTGAAAGGGGAATTTTTAGTGCTGGACTGACAGCCCTGAAGACCAGTGCCTTCTGCTTCTGCACGCACAACAATCAGAGCATGGCAGGAGCAAACACCCGCACCACCATCCCCTACCAGTGAGGCATTTTGTCTCCAAGCTGGGTCAGACCAAGGCAGTGCTGTCAGAGGGCTTCCATGACATGGACATGAGCACCCTGGTCCAGTGGGAGGTGTCCCTACCCATGGGAGCCCACCTCAAACCACTGGACCCAGACTTTGTACCTACTGCAGCAACATGCTGAACTCACAAGGAACATTTCAGACATCTGCTTAAAAAGCAAACCAAAAAAAAAATCCAACCCTTTCCTTAAAATTATGGATGGATTAAAAAAAAAAAAACTGAACATCAGAATCTTAAATATAAACTTAAATTAGTAAACAGGCAATACAAACAGAGCCCTGACTTTGCAAACATTTACATATGCAAGAATCCTGGGCACTGTGAGCTCAAGGGGAAGGATCATGTGTCTAAACAGACTTACGTGGACCAGTGTCTGCCAGGACTGGGCCTGACACTGGAAAGGCTTTGGGATGCCCATTGTCCTCTCTTACAGCTGTACAGCGGGGATCCACTGCTGAGCTCCAGTAAGAGCCCACATCTGACCAGAACGTCACAGCAGAAATAAAATGCCTTGAATCCTAAGCAAGTTGGACAGAAATATCAGAAAAAAGCTGGAAAAATGTACAGTTAAGTCAGAAGACAGACGCAGATGCTGAAGACAACCACAAAAATGCTCCCCACCTTCAGTTTTGCAGGCTTCAGAATGTCCAGCCCTGCTTTGGTGAGGGCGTGCTCCCTGTGTCCGGTCTGTCCCCCAAAGGAGGACCCAGCCATGACTAGGTACATCACGTTGACCTCAAACCTCATGCTCAGGCCTGTTGGCTCCATGTTACCTTGAGAAAAGGACTTTCCTTGGCTGCAGTTGCAGGATTGCAGTTGATCCCCTGGCTGGAACCTGCACTCTGGTCACAGCCAGGAGCCTCCCTGTGCCAGCAGCATTCAGAACTTGGTGTTTCGGGTGAGCTGCCCCAGCCCAGTGGAGGTGTGGGCAGAGGAGTGCTGCCCCTTTCCCATGGCTCTGGGAGAGCAGGGTCTGACCTGGGGAGGGAAGAAGGGGCTCCTTTATGGGCTTCTTCCCCCAGTACCTCAAAGCCAGTTATGTGTTGCCAATTGTGGTAGGAGCTTTACACAACTTGGAGACTTGCTGCCAACTATTAAGACTCACTTTACTGAGCTAATTCCACCCTCCACCTTCAACTCTAATCAGATGCCTTGACCATTAGAAACTGCAGTTTCTAGCCCCTCAGATCAAGAAACATCCATGGGCAATGGAAGACTTGTGAAGTTTGCCTGTTTCTAAGGGCTTCTCTCTGCTGCCTTCAGCTATGATTTAACAGCCACGCTGGTATGACAAGACTGTCTTCCTTCCAAACACGTGCCCTTTACGTTGCCATCACCACTTTGCCATGCCTGTCTCAGCACACAACCTCAAGATCATCATAACTGCTGATTTCACAGAGCAGTAAGAATTCCTCCATCGCTATTGACCTCCACTAGCATCAGCCAGGTGAAAACAGCAGCGTCTTCTCCTTGCTGGAGCCACACACGGACAGACTGACCTGATACAAAACTCCCCTCTGCAGGGCAGAAACCCAGCCTCAGTTTTTGCCAGCCACAGTTTACACGAGTTTCTGTACAATGCGAGATGTAGTTTGCTAACCCATTCCAAGGCAGCGGAATTCTGTGGGTGTTGCCTGCACTGATGCTTTAATCCACAGCAAGTAAACTTATTTGGGATCTGGTACTAAAATGACTTTAGGGGGCACGCTGCAGCTCCCAGCTGCTTGGGCAGCAGCTTCCATCTCAGCTGGTGACAAGAGGACCATCAGCACAACAACCCGTGGTCAGAGGCTTGACAGCACTGTAACTTAACTTGATTTTAAGGTCTGCATGGAGCGAATATTAAAGCGAGATCTCCGCGCTGCAGGGCTCACTGAGCCAGGAGACTCGGTTACAGAACAACTGTCCATTAGCGCAGGAGGCAGTGCAGATGCTATCTAGCTGCGGTATTATCCCTTGCTGTTCTAACTTAGCTTTGGACAGTTAAGATCTTGATGACATTATGAGTGGGGCTAGGGGCAAACTGTGGCCACAGCCAGATTAATAGCGCATGCAGGGCCTCGCTCGGGCAGCGCTGTCTGCTAATACACCCGCTCACTGCCACTCCTGCTCCTCTCCTGCTCTTCCCTATTCCTGCTCCGCAGCGCAGCGCCCTGCAGCTGTACCAGAGCGACCACCGGGCTGAAATAAGGTAGATTGAAATAAAATCGGAAAAAAAAAAAAAGGAAAACACATGGCCAAGTTACATCCCCAGCCGCAGCGAGCAAGAGGCAGAGATTTGTTTGTCACTTTGCCGGGCAAAACATGGGACAACCTCATCCCCGGCATCCAACCCCGCGCCTCCCAGCAAAGTATTTACCACCCTCCAGCCGAGGGGCGTGTGATGTTTGCTTAAGCTCAGGCTGGTTTCACGTTTTCGCAGTGATATGATAATTGCGTTTAGATAGCCCTGTCTCTCTCGGCTGGGCTTTTCACAGGGCTCTCCTGGCCCCCAGCAGGGCTCATTTAAAAGCGGCTCCGCTCTCAATGACATGCCGCAATGTTTTCAAAAAGAAACAACCAGCAGTGGCTCTCTGGAAAAATAACAAAGGGACCCAATTACAAGCAAATGTGTTGAAGGGTCCCGGGGCCGTCTGTGGGCAAATTAGGGCCAATTAAAGGTCAAAATGATTTAAGGTATAAGGACAAGAGAGGGAAGGGAAACAATTGGTCAGATTCCTGCACAGAATAAGCGTCTGCTGCTCAGTTGGAATACCTTCTAGTGCCCAAACGGTGGATAAACTCCAGAGTTGGGGTTATGTCTGATTTTTAAAGTGGGTAATACGTACTTGCTGTTACATCTGTGCTTGGGAAAGTGCTTGGTGTGCTCACGGTCAGCAGTCCACCTCTGATGAGCCCTGCTGGGCCCCGGCAGCCCGCGTGGCCCCCATACAAGCTCAAGCCCTGTGGCAGTGGCAAGCGGACAAGTTTTACTGTCACCTGCAAGCTGGGCGAAGGGTTTGCACTGGTTATCACTGCTGAGTGGCAAAGGGGGCTCAATGTAACACTCCAGGTCCCCACCAGCCAAGTCATGGCTGGGGTCTGGACCAGCACTTCTATCAGCTTCGCTCAACACAGCCTAATTCTGGGCATTTTCTTTGGAATTGCTGTGTGTGCCAGAGAGTTGGATGCCTTCCCGAGGGAAATGGTGACCTGCTGTTCTGTATGACAGGCCTGTCCTGTTCCCCTGCCTCCCTTCGGCCACGATGCTCCCCCAGCTCTTAACCTCTGCCTGGACTCCCATGGGCTCCCTGACCTGCTGGCACATCCGTGGCCAAGCTGGCCATGGTTGTTCTGGGCAGATGCACTGCTGAGCCTTTACATGTGCCTTCCTGCAAAGGTAGCTTGAGACGCAGGAGAGGACATAACCCTGAGGTTCGGAGGCAGAGGGGTGATGCTCAGCCACACCATTTTATTGATTTTTCACCATTATTAGAGAAGACTTTCTGGGCTTCTTTTCTGTTTAAAAAGTCACACTCAGCTGAGGCTCACAACCCTCCTGCCTGAAACCCTCTCCCCTCCTGCTACCCAGGTATCAAAGCAAAGAGAAAAGCAACTTTCCCCTGACCCAGTGGCAGAGGGGGGACCACAGCCTCCTCACTAGGACCTCAGATCTTTGCCCTCATGGAAGAGATCACCTTTACCCACCTGAGAAAGCTGAAATCTCATCCAGAAATTGACCAGCACATGAATCTGCAAACGGGCTGGGGACTTCACATGAAGTTTCCTTCCAAGATCAGTCCCTCCGCCTGCATCCAGTAAAAATACCCCAGCAATGCTGCAACAAAGACAACATGATAAATACTTTCACCAGATCTATTTAAAACCAGAGAACATGTTCAGCCTGCTGTTTTCTGTTGAATTTCAAATTAACGTTATGGAGGAGAGGAGCTTTCTCTCTGTCATTTTTATCCAGAAACAAAGAAGCCTGGAGAAGGTTTGGACTCCTGATTGCTCCATGGCATCTCCCCTGGTTCCTCATGAAGATCCTCACTCACACTCAAGAGGGTTAAACTGCGAGGTGAGGAGCACTCTGCCCGCTGCAGCAGGGAGGGAGGGCAGGCAGGGGGTGGCTGGACCCTGGTAGAATAAGGTGGGCACTCTACTGTTTGGGTGAACCCCTCCTCACATGGGGATCCAGGTCTCATTTCAGATTCATCCGCCCATCACTGTCATAGTTTAGTAAAGGACTGAAAAGTAAAGACATAAAGCTTTTTTTTTGGGTTTTTTTGGGGTTTTTTTTGCTTTTCTTTTTGCTTTTCTTTTTGCCCAACAAAGAACAGAGAGGACATTTGAAAAAAAGTAACCTGGATTAAGATTCCACTCATCTCTTGGTGAAGAATTGCTGAAATTCGGGGAAAGACTCAGGGCAAAGAATTCCTGACATAACATTTTGAATAGCCCATGCTGCTGGTTGGCTTTATATAAAAAGCAAGTAAAACCATCCAGGGAGAAATGGCACCACCAATGCTTTTATCCAATTATTCATCATCCTGTGACATCTTCATCGTCCCCTACCTGAACTGTTTGGAAACAGCTGGCTATTGGTGACACATTTCCATGCAGACTTGCTTAAAAAAACCCCCACAAATAGACCTAAAAAAAAAAAAAAAGCTGTTTAAACCCATCCTACAAATGGCTCTAAAACATCCAACCCTGTCCCATCTCATCCTGCCCCCTTCCTACCATCTCCAGCTGGAAAAAGAGACCATAAAGCAGTTTTGTGCAGTCACATGTAAATCCCCTGTCTCTGTTAAGGCGAGAGATTAGCCTGTTAACAAAGTTACCTTGTCACCTACCCTGCTTAATCCTTGCATTTCAAAGTGTAATTTTATTGAGCGCCTTGGAGCTGAAATCTGGTGTGTGTTATTTATTTATTTATGCAGTTTAATCGTTCCCTACTTTTTTTTTTTTTTTAAATTCACCTGGAGCTCAAAACGTTTTTTTTTCCTTTTGGCCTTACTGAAACTGGTGCCTTTTGGAAAGGCAGTGCCTCTGCCGTTTGTATTAATTTTAATGTATTTATTTAACCCTTCAGGGGCTGCGGTAGTGCAAAGACACCCCCCCTCCTCCCCCTCTCCCCACACCTTTCCGAGACGACAGTCAGACAGTCTCCACACAGTGCCGTACGGCTGGTGGTGCAGCGGAGTATCCTGGCCATAAATCTGTCAATACAAAGAGAACAACACGCACACAAAAAATGTGGCTAAAACCAAGAAATGTAGCATAATTACAGGTTCATTACTGCAAACAAAAGCATCCCCTGATCCCACCCCTTTGGCAGGGACGGGAGCAATTCAAACAGGCTCATTATGTAGTTACCTAGCCAGGGTCAGAGCCTCCTGAATAGCTGCTGTGGCTCTGCTTATTATCCGGCCCCGGACGCCGGGAATGCGCCTGTTCCAGCCATGGAGGTGCAAGAGCTCTGGGAGCAGTGAGGCTCCAGGTCTGCTCTCCCCTCCCTTCCTACCTATTGTTATCTCTCTCCTCAGAAGAAGACCTGCCTTTGTGCTGGCTTTAAAGTGCATTTAGCCATGGCGAAAGGTGCCGGTTTGACAGCCTCAGAGAGTGGAGCCTTGTGCTCATCTGCCCAGCGGGTACAGCAGGAGAAGGGGAGACTGAGGGCAGCAGCAGGCAAAGTAAGGTGGACAACAGTCTGATCTCCATGGCCTGCTCCATTCCCCCTCCAAGGCTGGATGCTGTCTGGCCGAGGCATGTGGTTCCCACAGCCCATCCTGCAAACACCTCTCTGCTTGGAAACGGCTCGCACCTAACCTGGGCTGGAAAATCACAGCTTCCCAACTCATCCCAAATTTCCCAAGAGTTTGAGGGAGTTCCCATCACATCAAACCCGCGTGCTGCCTTGGACCAGAAGCCAGAATTTTGCCTCAGATATCTCCTCCTTCCCTGTGCAAGCCCCACACTCCATCTCATCCCTCCTTCCCCACCCCCAGCTGCCGGCAGATGCACGAGCAGCCCAGGGATGCAGCTGGTGCTTTTTGGACGTTTCCAGCCTGGGCTCCCTTTCTCACCGGGCCGGGAAGCGGCGTGAAGTCCCCTTCGATACCACGTGCCCCTTCCAGAGCCACAGCTTCCCTCTCCGGTGGCCGAAGAATTGAGGAACTCCAAACGGCACCGCCGAATATTCAGGGAACCTGACAGCCCCCTTCCCCTCCGCCTGCAGCGGCGGTGAGCGCCACCAGCGCGCCCACGCCGAGCCTGCCTCCATCTATAACCCAAACGTCAAAACATTTCCTCTTGCAGCCCCGTTCGGCTCGTGGTAGCCCCGATCCCAGGTCCTAGTCACGCTGCTTTTGGGGTCTGCCTCGCCGAGCCATTACTGTCACCGCCCCACTGTGCGCAGATAAGAATAGGCTGCTTCTTCTGACTCATTTAGCTAAAACAATGGAGCCACCAGAGGCCAAATGAATCCCCGGTGACTTCAGCAGAGTTACACCAGGCTAAATTTGGTCCCAAGCGTACAATTAGCACAGAGGAGAGCTCAGTGTCATGACAGTCTCTTGGCTCTTCTTCCAGGCTCCCTTCCCCAAGCTCTCCCTCTCTGCCGAGCGGCTGGGTGCTCCCTCTCGGCCACTTCACCGCTCATGTCTTGCCATTTCTGGACACTGGGAAGGGGACCCTGCAAGGGGAGAAGGCAACCCATCACCAGCAGTTTTTGCCTGGGGAAGGGCAGATCCTGTTAGCCTGGGTGGGTAGGAAGAAAGAGCTGGTCCTCCCTGTCTTCGGCTCGTGGGGACATGAAACCCATTCCCTGCAGAGAAGTGCCTGCAGGCATCCCTCCAGCACTGGGCATCCTCTGATGCCTTCAACCAGCTGAAAGCCTCTCTCAGGTCCAGTGTCCAGTCCCCTGTATGGCCACATAACATGCCTTTTAACTCAGCCCTGACCAGCCTTTCATCACCATCGGTTTTGCAGCAACCAGATTCCCTCTAGTAATAGCTAAGCCATCGAACTACACTTTTTCAGCAGATTTGTATTTCAAACGTTAAGAAAAAGTGTCGGAAATCATACAGGAATTTTCTTTGGTGACTCTCAGCCGACAAGGCGCTCCAGGAAGGGGAGGTATCACCCATCTACCACCGCAGCCACATAGAAGCGCCGGGCCCAAAAAATAGAAGGGGCTAAAATAAATTTAAAAAAAAAAAAACAAAAACTAACCAGACCTTTTCAAACTCCAGAAACACTTCCTCAAAAAAATGGTTTTGTGCGTCAGGCGTGAGCAGAGCCTGGATGGCAGAGCTACTTCCACTCCCCGCTGCCAACAACCCGGTGCAGGATCAGGGCTTTGCTCCAGCTCCGAGAAAACTCCTGCTAACCTCAGAGAGCACATGTGTGAGTCTGTCAGGAAAAAAAAGAATTAAGTAATGAAAAAGCATCAAATGATTTAAAAAAATAAAAGAAAAGGGGAACAAAGAGCAGAGTGTGGGCCTGGAAAAGGTCTGCGCTCGATGCCTCCCTCCCTGTGCCCCACTGCCCCCTCCGGCTCCACAGCCCAGAACTTTTTCAAACATACAGACTTCTCATTCCTTTGACAATTCTTCAAAGGCTCCAGGATTCGAGGGAACTTCCTGTTTCATCGCAAAACCTCGCTTTCTTTTCCTTTTCCAGGCGATTAAACCCCGCGCTAACCAAGCGGTGTTGGCCGGGTGTCTGACGACCCTGACTGCTGCGGGACATTAAAGTGACGCTGCCCAAGGTGGGTTGGTCCTTACATCCCCCCTTCTCACCCCCGAGTTTACTGCAGAACAAAGTCTTGTTAAGCTCAACACTGGAAAATATATTTCCTCCCCCGCATGCCCATAGCGGTTGTTTAAGCGTTGCATGGGGTTGCGTGTATTATTTTGTTATTGTAGGGTTGCTGGTGACAACTGATCTGCACACACTGCTTTGTTATTGTAGGGTTGCTTTAAAATCCTGGGCTCCCGGTCCTAGTTTCATTTATTTATTTAAGGAAAAGGTAGTTTTAAGGGTTGAAAAACAAACATGTTTGAAGACATACCAAGACATGGGGAAGAGATGGCGCGGAGAGGAAATCCTGTCAAACCTGGGGCCTCGCTGTGCCCCTGGAGCGTGGCCGTGTCCTCGCCTCCTGCTCTCCCGTGGCCACTGTGACCCGCAGCCTCCCGGCAGCGATGACCGACTCGAGATACTCGGCATTTTTGCAGTGCATATTAATGTCACTGTGAAAACAGTACGGCATTAACAGTTCTCAAAGGCTTGAGTTACTGTAAAAATCTGCTCCAGACGTGAGGTTTAAAAGTTCAGATAAAGGAAGAGGTGGAAGGAGAAGAAAAAAGTGGGGGAGAAAAGGAGCAAAGTGCTGACTTGAGTGATGGCAAACAGTGATGGCTTTCCGTGTGATGGGCAGGCACGGTCCCCGGGCAGCATCCCCGGTGCTGCCAGGAATGACCTGGAAGGGCTGCAGGAACCCTCTTCTCCAGTTGCTAGTGAGTGACTGGACAGCAGAGAGGACTTTGGAAATCACAAAAATTCACCCCAGCACCCAGTTCACTTACAGAATCCTCAAATCCTCCTAGAATTTCCTCATTTAGGACCAATGGCAGAGTCCAGTCCTTGACACACCTCAAGGGCAGAGCACAGCAGTGATGGTACGTGTGCCCAGATCCTTGCCTTGCCCCAGAGTCGTGTCTGGGGCTTGGTTTCTTCATCTGCCAAGGGAAGAAGAGACCAGATGAGTTTGGGCAATACTGGGAAGGAGCAGAAACACGCGACAATGCAGCCTTCCCAGCAGAGCATCCACGGCTCTGTTGTGAAAGGGGAGACTGAGAAGACAATGAAATTAAGGGGAGAGACTCCTGTCAAGCTAAATAATTAAGTCCCAGGATACATAATTGATGTCCTCTTGATGTGGACCCTAAATCATTTACAAGGCTGGTGTGTAACCCGACATGCAGCTCTGGCATTATGACAGCAAGGGAGGAGCATCCCCAGTGGCAGGGCAAATCCAGCAGGTCACATCAACAGTGACACCCCACAGAGGCTTGGCTGAGTCTGGGGGCTCCTCCTGCCTGTCCCCACCCTTAGCCAGCCGTTGTAAGTGGGTTGCCCACCACTGAGCCATCCCACTTGCCTGGCGTTACGCTTTGGTGGACAAGAGTAACTCCACCAACCCACAAAAGAGGTTCCCGCGGCGGGACAGGGCGGTACGAGAGGGAGACGCCGCTGTTTCTCTGCTGAGAGTTTTCAGCCAACTTCAACCCAGCCCAATCTCAGCTGAATCCCAAACATCAGCCCAAGCAACCCAGCACCATCCATAACACACCCATAGGTTTTTTTCCCCACCATCAGAGAGTCAAACTAGGGCTCGCCTGCAGTGTATGCACAAGCTCTCCAAACCCCTGCCCAGCGCTGCTTGGGAACTGCTCTTTCAAACTGCTTCTCTCCCCACAGCAATGCTGATCCGTGCCCCTAACCCAGAGAGATGGAGCAATCAATACACAAACCAACCGCTGGACAAAACAAGGCCACCAGGGACAGGGCTGAGCCGTGGAGACAGTCCCCGAGGGTTGGCTGCCTGGGCCGAGGCAGAGGATGCCGGCCCTGCAGCTGACTGCACTAGCCCATAAGAAAGACATCAATCTCGAGGGCATTTTCCGCTGTCAGTCATCCACAATGCTCTTTCCCGCCCCATCAGTTGCAGAAGTCAAATGGCACCGCACATCCCTATTCTCGTCTTTTTTCTTTTCTTTTTTTTTTTTTTTTTTCCTTCCCTTGGTCTTTTTACACTCCATCAAGAAAAGCTCCTTCTGCCCTTCTTATGCCTTCCTACCAGCATGACACCTCCCTTTCAGGCGTACCAAACACGCCACAAATCTCCTGGGTACCACCAGCCATCCGGCTGGGTGACAAGGCACCCCGAGCAGGGAGCAGGGGCACAACCCAGGGCTGTCTGGGGTCGCACAGTCTGGCCCAGAGACTGGCATGCTGGCTCCACACTGAAAAGTATCACTGTCCCTCCTAGCTGCCCCCTGCTCCCAGTGTTTTGACAGTCGGCTTGATGGGCTGAGTGTGTTAGCAGAGTCACCCGGAGCCCCCGCCGGCTCCCCGTGCCCACCCCAGGCATGCGCCGTCTGCCTGACACTGCCTACAAACTCTATTAGCTTTGTAATTAAAAACAGCTGTAATCTGATCAGGTGGAGATCACGGTTACAAAATGAAGGAAGCCATTAGCAGGAAATGTTGTGGTTCAGGCAGACATCAAATCAGTTTAAAGAGATTGGATTTCATTGTTTTTATACAGTTACTCCATTACTATAATGCACTGGGTCCATTTAAGCGGCTGGCTCGGAGGAGTGCTCATAAGGCAGTAGTGACATCTATGTGAAATGAACGGCATAAACAGCAAACTCTGAGGAGATAGCAGTGAATTTACACCCCTCACTCTGCAGTGAATATTAAGGCACCGTGAGCTGCCGCAGTGGGGTTTGCTGGGGGGCTGGCTTTCTCTCCTCTTTCTCAAGCCCCCCATCAGTGTTGCCGGCTCCTCCGCGGGGCTGGGAGAGCCTCCGCAGCAGGGATCCGATCCAAGGACCTTTCCTCTTACCCCCCTTCCCCAGCCACAAACCAAACCACGGGTCCAGTTTCTCGGTAGCGAGGTGGAGTGAGAACTGAAACCACAGCAGCCACATCGCTTCGCTTCCTCCCGGCCGCTTTGCCCCCGTGTAAACACCCGCCAGCCAAGACAAAAACCGGAGAGGTAAAATATTCATGTTCTCACAAGGGTTGTTGCCTTTTTCCTCTATTTCCCTCCCCACAAAAAAAAAAAAAAAAAAAAAAAAA